TTAAAAATCCAGGAAAAGGAAGTCCAATAGGAATCCATGTGTTTGCTTTGATCAGTCAGCAGAGACCAGCTTCCACTGTTCCAGAAAACTGGCACATAACCACAGTCTGTTTGCTCTTGGCCAGGCTTGGTCTCCATGACTAAATAACTTCTCTTCAGGACCCAGGGGAAAATGCAGTCAGCGTAGGGAGAATCAGAGAGCAGATTCACAGCCCTCGGTCTGCTGGTTTAGACTGAAAGGTCAAGCCAGAAAAGAGGAGAGAACAGTGACAAAGTAGCATGCTCATGAAGCTGTTTATATTGTGCCAGAACTGTAGAAAAGTGAATCTAAAAAATCTTTGGGGGATACTTTCCAGGCTGAAATCTGGGTAGTGGGTTTTGGGTTTGTGAAAGACTCAAGATCCACAGTCCTCACTTTTAAACGTGAAAATAGAGACAGAGAGAAAAGGAGAGCCCGTGAGGAAGACTGTAACAATGTTAAAAACAGAACCTGTCTTCTGTCTACAATCTCATGCTACCAGAGTCATGTAAGAGTGCAGAAAGCACAAGCAAAGTCAGCCCAAGCCCTTCAGAGAGATGGGGAAAGCTAAACCCAACAGGATTACTGAAAGATGATGGGATGTTTCCTTTATTTATAATTAAAATACAGCCAGTCAACTGCATTCATATTTATTCTTCTAGCTGCCCCACATTAATATGGAAACAGTAATCTTCATTGAAACTAAAGTAGGACGTGTTGTGTTCTGTTTTCAGCTCTGCCATAAGATGGCAGAGCAGCACCATTTCTGTCATGGAGGTAGTTGATGTACATCTGGTAGTTTGATATTGCCCGGTAAACATGCAGCCATGCAAGTAGCTGTAGAATTAAAAATCAATTGTTTCCCCTCTTGTACCACAAAACAAACCTCATTCAAACCCAGTGAGATATCTAAAGTCGTATCAGAAAACTGAGTTAATAATCCTCTTGAGGATTTTGCAGAAATAAATTTTAAACTGCTGTTATAATTGCGGAGAAGGCTTAAGAAAAACCAAGAAATTAGCAATGCTATCTAATCATAGTAAAGAACCACATTATGAATAACGGCATCACACGGTTGGCACAGATCTTGCTGCATGATTTCTGCATGGCTTTTCCAGTTTTATATCTCACTCTCCATGGTGCATGTACAAGGGACAGTAAACTTAAGTAGGATCCATCCTAGTACAGGTACATGCATTGATACAAAGTTATCTGGGTTTAAGCTTCAGGTAGCTTGGAATTCAAGCTGAATAAATATCCCTATTTTCTCACTTTTGTAACTAGGCTCCTGCTGCCAAGCAGCAAAGACTTAGCCAGCAGCTTCTATCAATGCAACCGCCTCCAGTATCTTCTGCCACGGAGGACTCGCTGCTTAGGTGTTACAGCCAGCAATGAAAGCACTAGTCCTCTCCTTTAGGGGAAGATGCAGCATACGTTGTGCTACAGTAAGACGCACATAGTAGGATGAAAGTAGAAAACTTTTCTGTTGAAACTGTGGGGATTCCCCATCTCTGCCATGGCAGATGTAGCTCTGAATACCGAGTAGGAAATGAGAAGTGTGCCTCACAAAATATTCGCACCTTGAATGTGCAAACACAAGTGAAGTCTTCGCAAAAATGACCATGGCAAGGAGAAGAGGCATAAAGAACCCAAGTGAAAAAGCTAAATAATAGAGCTACTAAAAAAGCAACATTGTTTTACTTAAGTAATGTGATGGTGCATACTGAGGAGACATGGATGCGCAGCCATTCCATCACGTCTGCTTTGGAAGGGATTCCAACTGTCTCAGCAAGATTTGGCAAAGTTGATAGAGCTTGAGGGTTTAGATTACTACTATCACATCTCCAATGACAGGCCAGAGCAAGCTCCAAGCAGCATGCTGCAACAAAATTATCATGGAAGAGTCTTAATAGTTTAAGAAAATTAAAGTAGTTCCAGGGCCAATGTGAAACTTCAGTAGGGAGAAAACTGAACTACGCACAGGTCAGTTCTCCTGCAGCAACTCAGTCAAAAACTGGAGGCCTTTAACGAACATCACAGAACACTACAGGAACCACATTGTGCTCAAAGAGACAGGAAGCGGCTTTTACCTTTCATCAGCAGATGCATGATATTCCACACAATCAGCGTTAATTAAAGCTGCTCAATTCTTTCCACTCAGGACAACCGCAATACAGTCCACCTAAGCTAAGCAGGCAAGTTTTACTGTCAGCCCTCTTTCTTCAAGAGACAGTTATTTCTAACCTAGTGGTAACGTGGCACTAGGAGACTGGTCAGTGGCTCAAAGCCATGTGAATTCAACAAATACAGGCATAGTGTTAATTAAAACAAACAGGCTTTATTCTTGAGTTGGTGTAAACAGGAGACAGAACAAAACCACCTATAAATTCTGTAAATGCTTGACTTAAGATTTCATTGTCATGGAGGTCGGCCACACAGTTGTGAGCAGTGCTGTGCTGATCATGCAAGATCTCTGGCCAGTTTTGAAAAAAAAAAAAACAACACCCCACCCAAAAAAACCCAAACTCCAAACTAGACAGCAAATACTAACTCCCTACAGAAAGACAGCTGAAACACACTGAATAGCAGTGTTTCTTTCATAACTTTGTGCACAATGCAACCCTTTTTATGTAGGAAAGTGCCATGTCAAGCTCTCAGAACACTGCAGTTCACAAATACTGCAGAATACTGCAGTTTTGTGCCACTCTGTGCTAGTTTATACTGACCGGGTACACATCACTTGCTGCACTGTTCCTTGCCCTAATGTAATATGCATAGGGGTGCATCACTAATTCATGATGCAGGAACTCTCAACCTCCTCTAAAGCAAAGGTCAGGGGTAAACTGCAGTTTTCGGTATCCTTTCATGCAAAAAAAGCCCCAACATAGAAAACCTGAGTGGTACACAAGTGCATGGGCAGATGGATGAAATGAAGTGGGGTAGGATAAATAAATCTGCAACACAAGCACATCGAAGTTCAGTGAGGCACATCTTAACCTGCTGAGCAACCTAGCAAAAAAAAAAACCAAACCCACCAAAAACAAAACCCAAAAAGGGCATTTCAGGGTACTGAAATATGTATGGTGTTGAGCAGGAGCCATACCAGGGCTGCAGACTAAAGCCAGCCAGTGGAAGTGCTACCACTGACATCCAGGAGGATCTCTCCACCAGGCAACTCTTTCAGTTCAGCAGCTCCTGCACCTTTTGTATGCTTTTCTCCACCTCGAAGAGCCGCTTTCTTGGTGCACTGTATTGCTACCTGCGATGCGAGAGGTCCTCCATGGGCCTGGTATAGTCTTTGGAATCCTGAACTGTTCCCAGGTAGCAAGAAAGCAAACCAAAAGGTTTCTGCAGCTCTCAGTTTGCGGGAAGGATGCCAGATTTAGGATGATGAAAAGTTAATAATTCAAGTAGTCTCTAATTTTGTTATTGTTAAGGCAGGAAAGAATCACGCAAGAAACTTGTGGTTACTTAATAGGTGTGTTCAGTGCAAGTCATTTTTCAAACACCAGATAAATGAAGAGTTTAACACTGCAGTGCCACAAAGCCATCCTACGGACCAGGATTCAGCAACGAGCACAAGAGGCTTCTGGTTACAGTCCAATTTTCCGTGTTTTCACAGACTTTATCACTTGTGAGCTGTGTTTAGCCAAGTTTTTCCTACGTCCTAGATTAAGTTAAAAATAAAATTAACACGCACAAAGCAAGCGTCTAGACTTCGTAATTGTGGAAAAACCCTGACAACAGAATTGGGCTTAAAACTTCTTAAAATTCTTTTTTTTTTTTTTCCAGTTACATTCACTCGTTCCTCACTCTGAAATATCTGGTTTACTGTACAAAATTCTATTACTGATACAATTAAACAGAACCAGAATTTCGTCTCTCAATTACCATTGCGTAAGTGGCCACTGCAAAGGTCAGAATGGCAAAATGGCTAAATTCATCTAAAAACAGAGGGGAAAAAAAACCCCACCAGTATCAGTCCAGAACCTCTGAAATGCCACTCTTCTGTTGCACATTCTACACGTTTCTGACCATTTGGACACCCAGAAACTTCAATATGGAAAACTCCCCAGTTCAGCTGAGGCTAATAATCTTGACTTCTTGTCAGAAAAACTGACGCCAGAGGAAGCTCCATTTTGCCAAACTTCCAGAACTGGCCAAACTGGCACCCAAACTTCCCAGCAAGCACCGTAGTCTTTGCTAGTGTTAAGCTCTCTACTATATCTTATAATTCTTGAAGTAAAAAAACGCTGCTTTTGGGATTAAAGTTAGTTGGGTATCAAATCAGCTGCTGCAGTGTAGTTTTAATCGGACAACCTCAAACATCATCTGAGCTGGGTTCTTTGCCTATTTATTTTTCCGGAAAATTCTCTTTAATCAGAACACTCCTCTTCCTCAACAAAATGTTAAGTGTGTGTGCGTGTGTGCACGAGAATCCCTGGAATGAGCTGGTTTTGCCATGCAAAGTATCCTTGATGCAATATTTATTTCAAACCTCCCCAGAAGACTCACTTCACTACGTTTGTGCTCCTGCAGTTGAAATCGATGGCAGCAAAATCAGGCCTGGCCTGTTTGCCAAGTTCCACTCTGAAGGGCTTCAGGCTGCAGACAGAAAGTTTACTATGGAAACACCAACAGTCTCCTAACAACAGGGGCTCTGAGCAATGCTGCAGGAATGTGAACAACTTGGAGCTGATCATCAGAATTTCCTCTATTTCCTATCTCTGCAGGCAGAGCACTCAGCGCGGCACCAGCAGTGACAGCCTGCAGTATTACCATGTAACAAGAGAGAGAAATAGGTGTGTGAAACAAAAGATTAAATAAATCTCAAGGCATCTAACCACAAGTGAAGTTAGACGACAGGCTAGCAGCAGCCCCTGCAGTGGTAACGCTGTATTTGTCAGAAGGCACAACGAAGTTTTCAAAACTAGAGCACACAATCATTGCCGCCGACATGCACCCAATCTATCGCTGCTTACCTAACAGTCTGTGAGCAACAACAGTCCTTTGTATGATCCCCGTTTTAAAACCTCCTCTTTTGGCTTGCTCGCTCTAGTCAAATGAATTGTCAGTCCATAGACTCGCTGAAGCAACAGCATCTGCAATATCATTAATAATGGTGTATCAGCACTTCCACTCAATCACTGCTTAGCTGTGCATTGAAGTTTGCTCTAAAAATTAGAACACAGCTCCTACAGAACTGTAGAAAAAACTAAAATGATTTTCCCCCCCCTCAAATGTGTGCAGTTACAAGCTCCCAGGTTGTTTTTATTAACTGGCAGGAGGAAAGGGCCTTTCATGGAATGCACCTGAACTTGCTTCTCTTCTTTCACCTTTCCATTTATTGCTACCTGCTCAAGCATGTGCAGAGTATTTTTAAGGCTCTGATACCATCTCTCTGCAAGTTCATTTACCAGTTGTCAAGCTTTCAAACCCAAGGGTAAACAAACTAGAGCCTACCCATCTTAACGCAGTCATCAAAACAGTTCTTATAACAAGGTTTTTACTTTTTCAGTCTCTTGATTAATATTTTCTATTCAAAAATCAATTGTTCTGGAGAAGAACTTGGTAAAAATACATGCACCAGCTTCTCTATGTGCAGTAATTAACAGCACAAGTAGAACTGTAAGGCTCTGCACACTGCATTGACCAACTAGAGATGAAAAACCAATCTGTTCTGTCAAGCAGAGAAAATCCTCTCGTACACCTTGACCTGCAAGCATTGGAGCTTTTGCTACAAAGACTGACACTGAAAAGCCATTCATACATTTGTGTACGTACATGTGCCTGTACAGTTTACACAAATAAGCAAATCGTGTAATTTAGAGGATGATATTTATTTGGAAATAGGTATGTTTGGGGTAGCATTTTACACTTCTATTCACTGACATGGAAAATGTTTAATTCTATTACAGTTAGAACTGTCTGCCTAAATATCACAATACAGCTGGTGCACACAGCTCAGCACAAATCAGCAAAAGGCCAGAAGTTCAGCAGCAAGGAAGACTTCGAGCCTTCATCAATCGACCACCGCCACATTTTACAGAGCACGTGGGGTTGGGGCAGGGAACTATGTAAATGATTTCTGGGAAACCATTTGAATATGCCTGCCTTACTGGGAAAACTATGTTACTGCCTATATGGCCTGAGGGCTTTTAACTCTTGTGTGTGTGCCTTAGGGGGAGAGATCCCACACCCCCCGGCACGGTAATAAAGGAATACCTGCGTAATAACTCAGGTTATTGAGTTTTCACTATGTCGGTCTGCACACTGTTAAATTGATTTGAAAAGTACTGACTGTATAGATTATTTACTTCAGTACTTTTTAAAACACTATTTTGGTAGACACAGCACCACTTACAGTCTCCTGAGGCAAGCCTATTTCCTAAAGAAGTTAGCTGCCAGGTAAGAGAGATCTGGGCTCTGCATTTCTTAGCTTCCAACAAAGAACTAATCTTCAGTCATTATTTTCTAAAGAAAAAGAGGTGAAAGAACAGGAGTGTCAGGAAATCTGCTATGCTAGTGTTACAGTCTGAGCACATAAAGAGAGTAATTGTGCATCACTTCTCCAGAACACTGAATATTGCTTTTCTAGTCAGCTTACTAATGCACACAGTTCAGAATGTTAGTGCAGTTATCTAAGCACAGCTTACCAACTAACATCACATGTATTCAAATGACTTTAGCTCCAAAACAACCCAGACAGTGGCCAGGAGTCTGTTGTTCAAAACCTGCAACACAATCAACATTTAAGGTACAACCTTCGTACCTTTTATCTTTCCTCAGATACTTCGTTTTGGCAGAACAGCCTGAGACACACATCATCCTACACCAATTTTACCAATAAGCTATAACCAATCCCTGCAGGAGCAAAAATCAGTGTTTGTAGTAACTTAGTAATGAGTGTTCACTTCCAAAACAATCTCTAAAGTGGTTATACTTTCCATCCCAAAGAAAAGGACGATGGCAGAAATATTTGAAGAGCAGCAATTAATCATCCACCTTCCATTTTAAACTTTCACTTTCCACTTCTATTTCAGACAGGTGCAAATACTACCACATGCTATACAAGTTTTACTTAATCCAGTTTCCCATTTCTTTCACGCACATGCTCTTCTTGCTTTCAAAAGCTAGCAGGGCAGAAGGCTTTAGACACATCCTGAGAAGTAATTTCTGCAGTAAGGATGAAGTGTTTCTTCCCATTTTCCACATCTTACGTCAAGACACTGGTGACAACCCATGCTCCCCCACTTCAGTTTTGGTGCCCCCGATAAATCATGAACTTGTCAAAACTATTAACATTTTAGCATCTATTGTTGGTTTATATTTCAAAAGCCTCTTTCAGAAGCTCACCAGCGGACACAAACTTAAGAGTATTTAATTCTATAGCACAGCATCAGTTGGCAGCCCCGAAGAATTTCCAGCCTAGCTTCAGGTCTTCTCCTCAGACCAAACAGTGCTCTTTCATCCACCCAGCATGAAGACCACAGCATCAACGCAGCAGAGGACTTAAGGAGGCAGTGGACTAGTACAGTTTTGACGCAAGCCAAGCACCCAACAGATGGCACAACTTAGCACAGGCATTCTATATTTAGCCTTCTTGCAAAGCAGTTATGTTTTTTAAATAGTAATGGTTAAGTGTTTCCTCCCTCAGTTCCAAAAGGAGCCACAGATAGAACAGCAAATCAGAAGGCACAAACAAAAATGGAAGAGGAAAGACTGGCAGTATATATTGTTCTCTATACACATGTACATGCTTATGGAGATTATGAGACATGTACACACTAAACACTTTGGAAATTTTTCAAATTATTATACAATGCTTGCAAATTACTATGTATGTTCATTACATGATTAATGCAACTGAGTAATACTTTGAAGAAACTTGAGAACTCAAATCTGTTGCTGTGGATATACCCATTCTAAATAGAATTCTGCTGAAAAAGGCTATTTCCAGGGAACATAAACACAGAAATAAACCAGAAGGCTAGACAACAGAAGCCACGTGCACATTATACATAGTTTGAGAAGTCCTACGAAATCCAGTAATGAGTAGACAGCATAGTGTTAGATAGCCAGAAGTAAAAGCACCAGTAGTTTTTCCACGTCACACATTTTACATTAGAAAAAATAATCACCTTGTTAATCTTACAAGTTGGAGTGCCGACTGCGTGCACGTGAAATCACATCCACGTTTTCCCAGTGAGCTATGTCTGGGAATTTACGCTAGCCTCCCAAGCTACCCAGGTGAACGATACTCAAGTACTGAGGAGACATCAAGAAGTTCTACAAAACCCAGAAGCCATCTGACATATTTGAACGCCCACTAACACACTATATATGCTTCAACAGAAAAAAGAAAAATTGTTGCCTGCAATCAAATGAACTACGGCTGCAAAAGGCCTACAGCTGAGAACAAACGCTTTAATTAAATGCAGTGAAGCAGAGGAAGCAAGCAGTCCCTCTAAAAGCAAGTGTTACAAGTCAGTGGGGGGGTGGGTGG